TAGCAGATTTCAAACTCAGGTAATTTGTCCCTAATGAGGAACTTGTTGAACTGAATTTAACAATTAAGTCGAACACCCTTTGCTGCCTGCCGCTTAGGCAGGGAGTGGAAGACAGAAGCGCAAGAAAGGGCCAGGGTCCAGCAAGAGAAGACAAGGACAGCAAAAAGTATGTTCACGAGGCTCTTAGAACCTCAGAGACTTGGCTGTTCAAAGAGCTGTGTGTGTGAGTGTGTGTGTGTGTCTAATTTTGAATGTCTGTGAAAGACGAGATGCTACTATAGAGTCTCCCTGTATCCACAATCTGCCTCCCATTGCTATAGGGAGGCGTTCAGTTTCCTCACCCCAGCAGCAGTCTTGGTTCTTGTGCTCCAAAACAGAAGGATGCATATAGGACACAGTAATGCATAAAGCAGTGAAGGGTTTAATTAGAGCAAGCAAGGAAACAAGAAAAAGCGGGGACAAAGTGGGTCTAGCTGAGCAGCCAAGACCCCAATCCTAACAGGCATGGGGCTTATATATCTCCACTAGCCGTTGTCCCTGCTCGTGCCTCTCCCAGGGTGAGCACTTCATGGAAAGGAATGTGCTTTTATTGGAAGCCCATTTTTACCCAAAATTCAGTCCAAATAGATGTATAGAGATAGAAAATACTCACAGGGGTCTAAGTACCCTTAAAGTTGTTGAAAAGCTTACTAGGGGAAAGGGTAACAGTATTCTGTGCATGCTCCCTTGGAGGTGAAGTCTTGAAGTTGCTTTAATCTGACCTCCCTAGCAGCATGGACCACTTTCTCCCATTATCCCTTACATCCTGGTTTTTGTAAGATTGGGAAGCTGGACTATCTGGAGTCTACCACAGCCACTTTCCATATGTCTAGATAATCAGTTAACCACCGCCATTAACTTTATACTGTTTCAGGGACCTGATCAAGCCTGCCTGTTGTTTCTTATGTCTGCTATTTCACACTGTATTAATGTAACATATTTAATAAAATCATAAGGAGTACACTGATGTTGGTGCTATTGGTCACTATTTCCTGGCATTAACTTCCTGTTTAACATATCCACTATCCATTCATGACTGATCTCGTATTCACTGTGCAGAAGGAACTAGAGATCTGTAAGACAGATAAACAATAGTGCTGGAAGGAAAAGCAAAAGGAGAGGGAGAACACGCTTCTCTCTCTTATTGCCTAGGCTCCCAAGCCCCTTGGGAAGGTAAAATAGATGAGTTTTAGGTGATTGATGGATGGTTAGGGTCCTCATCCTAGGCGTTTTGCATATGATTATGCAGAGCTTTCCAAACCATTCTCTTTTATCCCCCCCTTGCTCCGTGCCTGGAGTCTCTTGGTTTCTACAGATTACAGGCTGTAGGGGGAAACTTTGTACTCCGCCATTAGCCATGCAGCATATTAGAGGCGCATACAGATGAGGTAATAAAAGGGTGGTTTACCGCACCGCTAACCACACCCACATTAGGCATGACTAAAGACGTATACGGACATAGGTGGTGAACTACAGTCACTAGCCACTTTTGGGCGTGGCTAGGGGCGTGTACGGAGGAAGGAATAAAAGGCTGAGCAGCAGAACCCCTTCCCCAACGTAATACATATCCTGGTTTCCAGACTGAGGTCATAACTTCCTTACAACAGGCCAAGTAACCACAAACTGTAAGGATTTGAAGTTCACCCCAGTATAGGATCATCACTGTTACTGTGAGATTCAGCAATCAACTCCAATCTTAAAATCTGGCACCCAGTTCATGTTTGAGACTGTTTTTGTATTTTGTTTTGCTCCTTTATCCTTTCAGAATGCCAGTGACAGTGCCCAGAATAAAGCCATTAACCACATGTGACTAAGAAGCAGTCAAAAGGTAGCTAGTGAAAATAAAGAACTAATTTAAAATTTTTGTTTACCTGCAATTATTTTAAAACCTAAAAATTGCAGCACACGGTGGTGCACACCTTTAATCTAAGCACTTAGGAAGCAGAGGCAGGCAGATCTCTGAGTTTGAGGCCAGCCTGGTCCACAGAGTGAGTTCCAGGACAGCCAGGGCTACACAGAGATACCCTGTCTTGACAAAAAAAAATTTAAAGTTGGTGCTTGATTCACTTGCCATCAGGAAAAATTGTAAGCACGTTTGAGAAATGAGTCTGCATTTTCTCTTGTAATGAAGATTATGTATACATGTGTGTCTTCATGAATGTGCACATGCATACGCATATTGAAGATGCCAGAAGGGAGTTGGATCCCTGGAGCTGAAGTTACAGGCAGTTGTAAGCCACATGACATGACTGCTGAGAACATAATTTGGGTCCCCTTGAAGAGGGGCAAGCACTCTTACCTACTGAACCATTTCTCCAGCCCCCTGAATCTGTATTTCATCTGTAAGTTTTCTGCAAATCTAAATTCTCATCATGCGTTTTTGTGTGTATATGTGTGTGTGTTTTGGGAGTTGGGGACACATGGAAGCTAGAGGACAATCTCAACTATCTCTTCCAGGTCCCAACTACCTATTTTTTAAGCAAGCCCTCTTATTGACCTGTCACTTGTAAAGTAGGCTATACTAACTGGCATGTGAGCCCCCAGAGAGCTGCTTGCCTCTAAACAAATATGCCAGTATTGTTTTGCTTTTTTCTTTTTCATGTGGCTTCTGGGATATCAAACTCAGTTCATCATGCTTGAAATACAAGCAAGCACTTAACAAACTGAGCTATTAGCCCAGCCACATATCAAGTATATTTTATGAAAATTTAACATCTTGATTGAGACAATGTCTAGAGTTAGAACACTGGGTCTGAAAATATAAAAGGTCTCAATAAGAATTTGTGAATATTGATAAAATGGAAATGATAATATTTTAGATGGACTGGACTGGACCAAGTAAGTCTTATTGACGTAATTTCTGTTCTTTGTTTTTAATTTTGAAAATATGACTATGAGAAAATTTAAATTGCATTTGGGGCTTGTAACATCTTATGTTATTACTGTATGAGATGAGATCTCTATATGTAATTGGACTGGCCTCAAACTACTGATCTTCCTGCATCAGCCTCCCAACTGTTGAGATTATAATCATGGACTACCTCACCAGGTTTCCAATAAGATGTTCACAGCACTATACAGCAAAAGCACTCCCTCCAAGTATCTTCAATGAATTACTTGTTCTCAACATTCCTTGTGACAAAGGCCCTCTTCGGTCACACATATCCTGCTACCTGGATGTTACTGGATGCTCATTTGTGATACCATCTTCAGTGTAATCTGTTGAAGAATTGTGGTCCAACTAAGTTCATGTAACCCTCTCACTATCAACATATTTTGAAAAGGTTCTGAAGGCATGACTTTGAAAAATGAGGTTTGAAAATAAATAAAAAAACAATTTTGAGGCCAGACAGATATCTCAGGGGGTAAAAGTGCTAGCCATATAAGCATGACAAGGCAAGTTCAATTCCCAAAGCTCACGTAAAAATCCAGATGTTCTGGCCCACAACTACTGTAATCCCGGTGCTCTCTAATATGAGTTGAGAGGTAGAAACAGGAGAATAACCCTGGAGCTCAAGAGCCATCTCCCCTGGAGTACACAACATGGCAGCAGAAAACAACAAGAGAGAACCTGCCTCAAAAAGGTGTAAGGCAGATCCCAGCAGCTGGCATCTGATCTCTACAAATACCTACAGTTAACATGCACACAAACACATTTTGAATAATGGGGAAGAATTCATCTTGAATTAGGAAAGAGAAGCCGGGCAGTGGTGGTACATGTTTAGTCTCAGCACTCAGGAGGCAGAGGCATGCAGATCTCCATGAGTTTGAGGCCAGCCTGATCTATATAGTGAGCTCCGGGATGACCAGGACAGGACTATGGGAAACATTGTCTCAAAAAAGGGAGGTAGGAAACATTCTGGGTTCTCATGGCACAAAAAACAAGTGAAATCATAAAATGTAGACAGTTCCAGGGTCTGGGTAGATGTCCATGGCTCCTGTTGCCACCGGGGGCTGTGCAGTTGCCCAGTGTCTGGACAGCCATCTGAGACCATGTTAGTGTGTGAGGGCCTTGCTGCCACTGGGCCATACTGATTCAGGGTGGCTTGTGCTGCCACCAGGGCCATGGACATTCATGTACCTGCTACAGCTGGGGTCTGTGATAATGTCCATGGCTTGTGTTACCACAGGAGTGGGGTGTCATAGGAACCAGGCATGTTGAAATCTGAGGGCCTTGCTGAGCTGGTCCCACCCTTTACTGGACTTGGGATGGCTGCTCCTTGTCCCCCCCTCCACTGGGCACTGCAGCAGGAGAGCTGCTCCCTCCCCCACTGGCCATAGATGGCCCCACCCCTCACCAAGGTCGTGGAATAGCTGGCCTCCATGGCATGGGTCTAAGAGAGCTGGCTCTGTCCCTCACCTGAGGGGGACAACCCTAAGGGACCAGAAAAACCAGCTTAGCTACCACCCAGGCCCACATCCTGGGCCTTGGCCCACCCTAACATCTACCCCGTCTATGACCTGCTAGAGTATGTGAAGAATGATAACCCAAGGATCTCCATGACTCAGGGCAACAGCAGGATATCTGACAGGAGTTTCAGTGAGGGTCTACTGACGTTAGTGCTCCAGAGGCCAGAGGCCTTGAAGCAGACCCATGAATCATTGCACTGAACATTTTGTGAGTGAGCCTGATTGGACAAAAGGGTATACTGTGTGACACACTGCTGCTCCCAATGCCACCAGGATGAACGAAGAGGTGGGGGAGAGGGGTGGTTGTTTTGTTTTGCTTTTAATCAATTTGGGGTTTTGTGGGGAGCATGGTACAGGGATGAATGACAGATATGGAGGGCCTGGGAGATAAATAGGATTGGGAAGCATGATGGGAAATTCCCAAAGAATCAATAATAAATTATGTTTAAAAAATAAAATGTAGCCAGCTAATATTGTCAATAGGAACATTACATCAAAGTGATAGCAGGATGGAGATAATGCCAGGGAAATAAACAGATGCCACTAAGTGGTAACTGCAAACTAAGATAAATTTATTTGCCTGTCTGAAAAGAAAGGACACATCTCTCAAGCCAAACATTGTGCTTATGGTGCCGGAATGGACCGGTTACAGAGCACAGGGAGGAAGGGCATGAAATCTGGCAGCACGCTGAGCTCAGGTCTGCTTGCTCTGAAGGCTGGGCTTACGCTCTTTGCCCCCCGGCTCACTGGGCCGCTTCACTCCTTCCCAGCGCAGGCTCCGCTCCTAGCGATGTCCAGGGTGCCCCAGTCAGCTCACTGTCACTCTGGTGGCCAACGGGAGCAGCTTGCTTGAAGGAGGCTGAATCTCTGCTAAAGAGCACCGACAGGACCTCAGGTTCATGCCAGTGATGGTCACGGTTGCTGTCCCTTCCCTAGTCTCTTTCAGAACAGACAGTTTCCACTTCTTAGGGTAAAAGGCAAATAAACATACATGTGCACTTACAAAAGGCAAATTTCATGTAGGCAGCTTATCCTTACGGGTTACCAAAACAAAACATAAGCAGTAAAATAACGTCTGTACATGAATGATGGCAGCACCGTGACCCACAGTAGCCAAAAGGTGGAGAGAGCCCAAACATGGATAACCAGATCAGGCCATACACAGACAGGGGACTGTGGCTGTGTCAAAGAGGCTCCGAGTCCTGGAACATAGCACAAGATGAACAAACATCAAACACATGCCAGGCAAAAAGGCAGACACAAATGTACAAAGTTGTACAAAACACTTCATAATTCACCTAAGATAAACACTGAGAACAATCACACCCATAGGGCCACAAAGCAAATCGGTGGCTGCCAGTGGCCGGGGGTAGGGCGAGGAGGCCTCCCCTTAGTGCTACATAGGTCCAGGACTTCTTTTGAAGTGCTGAGCATGTTCTGGAAACAGACTGAGGGGCTGGCCACACAGCAGTGCCAGCGTCATAAGTGCTAGGGTATTTATGGCAACATAAGTGTTACTTTGGCACAGGTAAATGTTCGTCACACCCTCCACTCTCATATTTGGTTGAGAGCCCAGCCTTTAACGGCCGAGCCCTCTCTCCAGCCCTACGCACCTGCACTCTCTAAAGGGAGTAAGTGAAAAAGGCCAGGGCCGTTGCGTCCACTGAAACCAGGGGCCCTGACATGGTCTGATCTGGCAGAGAGCGCTGACAGCTGGTGAGGGAGAAGCCGTGGGGGAAAGGCAGAGGAGGAGGACATCCCCCGTCACAGCCTCAGAAGGCTGTAGGCACTGGGGAAGCAGACCAGGAAAACCGAGTTTCCAAGTGCTCATTCCCTTCGTGCAAGTAACCTAGAATGTTCTAAAACGTGTGAATGGCCTCACAAGGAGAGCCACAGTAAGCCATCCCAGATTGACTCTTCCAGGCCAGTGGCAGGGTCTGCAAGAGAGCTGGGGTCTGTCTGTCAGAGCACCGAGTGCAGGGAAACCTCCCGAGGGCTGGGGCGGACGTTAGCAAATCTGCCACCGGCTCTCTTGCACAGGAATGCATGTCTAGGCTGCACTCCACCGCAGTGTGACAACCTTCCTTTGTATCCTCTGGTCTCCTTTGGTATCAGTTTTGCACAGTGTACTGCGGCACTCCACTGCAGACTCTGCGCACAGGCCTTTTACACTAGGAAATACTAAGTTCTCCTGAAAGACACTTTCCCAGGCTCACAAGTCACTTCCTTACATATTTAATACAGGGAATGGTTTTCACAAAGCACTGACGTCCTGCCACAAGGCACAACGTGCACGGACCTTGGGGACATCGTGCCAAGTGGAAAAGGCTGCGTGATACAGTAGCCACCTCGTGTTTCCGTGCGTGTGTGGCACTGGGAGCACGCAGACTCCTGGGCAAATAAGTAGACGGGGGGGGGGGGGGACACGGGACCAGGGGGGGATTTGATGGTTAACAGGTGCAAAGTTTCAATCCCTAAAATGAAGACGTTCTAGAACTATATTGTACGACATCGCGATTGTACTTAACTAATACTGAACTCTATCCTAAAGACTGTTACAACAGGCTGAGCAGTGGATGTGCACACCTTTAATCAGGAGGCAAAGGCAGGAGGATTTCCATGAGTGTGAGGCCAGTGTGGTCTACACAATGAGTTCTAGGACATCTAAAGCTACACAGTGAAATCCTGTCTCAGGGGGAAAAAAAGAAAAAAGTCATTGAGGATAATACAGTACTCCTTCAAAAATATTTTTTGTTAAAACATATGTGTTTTTAATCATCATTTATAAATAAACCTCTAAATTACTGCTAAGTTATTAAAGCATATTTTTGCAATTTTAATAGAGAAATGACAATCTGTAAGAAACTAAAATTAATGTATTTTAGATGTAGATATGCATCAGGACACTATAATAAATTTGTCTCTATCGACAACAAAAAGAATAACAAGTAAAATAGCACCAGTTTTAAAAATTCCTTCCTGTGGCCGGGCGGTGGTGGCGCATGCCTTTAATCCCAGCACTCAGGAGGCAGAGGCAGGCAGATCTCTGTGAGTTTGAGGCTGGGCTGGACCGACAGCCTTGAAAACAATACAGAAACACCCTGTCTCATAAAAACCAAAAAAATTTCCTTCCTGTGTTCTATGTAAAATTCTAGTATTGAGCTTTTCTGGTTTTACACTGTAAAACATCAGTACTTTAAAAACACCAAAATCAAAGTAAAACCAGAATTGATTTAGCTCAGTGCTGGTGCATTTTTTTGAGAGAGGGAGACTAAGACTTTGGGGTGGTTGGTGGACCTCCTCTTCCTGTACCTGTGTCCTTGTCACCAGTGTGTCCCTCATGACTATGCTGAGTGGCTGCCCTAGACCCAGCCACTGTACATGGTATGAATCTCAGCTGCACATTCTGGCCCTGAGCCTGCAGCTGTTCTACCCTGGCTGCAGGGTCCTGCATTCTCTGTGAAGGAAGGGCCTGAGCAGGGCTCTGGGGAGGGACTACCTGATGCACCACAGTAGTCTGAGACTGGTGAAGCTCAGCAAGGTTAAAGAGACCAGTTTGCTGAGTTGGCACTACCCATCGCTGAAAGCTAGACCTCTGGTTGCACTGGTAAGGTAGTGGCATCGACTGTGGAGGGACAGGAGCCCTAGGTGGCTGATGCTGTTTTGAAATGAGCACATAAAAAGGCTCTGGCTGCTGGAACTGCTGAAGCTCTGGCTGTATCTGAAGCTCTGGCTGCGGATACAGCCAGAGCTGTGGATACAACGGTGACTGTGGCTGCTGTGGCTGCTGTGGATGACGCTGTGGATGATACTGTGACTGTAAGCATGGCTGCGGGAGCTGTGATTGTGACTCTGGGTGCAAAATGACAGAGCCAGGTGGAAGCCTGACAGTTACAGGGCCTGAAGTATTTTTTACAATTACTTTCACAGAAGTCTGCATAGAGCGCTGTGGTGCTCTGGTCTGGGTACTGGGCATCTGACCTCTAGGAGGCAGAAAGCCTCTGGAAGAGGTTTCTGTAGATGCTGGGGCACTAGTGGGAAAGCTCTGGGTCAGAATACTCTTCAAAACAGGGTCTCCCCATGCTTGGCCAGAAACATTGATGACATTTTGGCTAGCGCTGCTGCCGCCATGAGTGGCTGAACAGCTCTCTGATGAGCTGGCAGAGAGCTGGACAGATGGAGGAAGGGTGTTAACACCGCTCACTCCCCAGAAGGTTTGCTGAGCTGGGCTGGCTGATTTGGAAGAAGGAGAAAGTTTCAGAAGCTTCCTATCTCTGACTAGAACTGAGGGAGGACTGATTGCTGAAGAGCTCTGTCCTGAGGTGGAGGGCAGTGTCAACAGTGGAGCTGAGGTTTTAACTCTCATCTCTGAGACTGGGGATGTCACTGAATGGGTTTTGGCATTCCTCCCTGGGGAGGGCTGGCCAAGACAGATGGAGTCAGTGGACCCCTGCAGGTTTTTACCTAGACACTCAGCCTGGCTTAGGACAGACCCTCGGTACACACCCATTGCCTTCCCAGACTCAATCTTTGCCCCAGCTATAGAACCAAGTGAACGATCACTTGGGGCAACTTGAGGAAGATACATCTGGCTATCCCATGGGCCCTCTGTTGGTGGCTCTATTTCAGAAGAGAAAAATGGGTCACTAAAGGACTGAGTCACATTTGGCTTTGCTACCCAGGACTGACTGACCTGTTCACAATCACATACATAACCATATTTTACCTCAGGAGCTGGCCAGGCTGTTGATGCTGAGTCATCATGGGGCGCAGACCGCTTCCCTCTAGCATATTTCTGCACATCCACCTGTGAGGGGGCCACCAGTTCGCAGGGTCTCTGCTTCCACGTATCTACACACTTTCCCACTTCAGCAATCTTCACATCATATTGGTCACCTGGTTTTATTTCTGCTTGTTTTCTGCAAGCAATCATTGTTGCAACATCAGAAGGAGTTGTATATATACATTTTTCTTCCTCCATTTCTGGATAGGACTGCTCACGACTTGTGAAGTGTTGCCTCATGGGGTCAGTGTTCATCTTCTGCTCATTAAACAGCAGTCTGTTGGCCATGCAGGTCACAGCAACAGAGGGGTCCAGACACAGTGGCTCTGCTGTAGCCAGGATCAATTGACTCTCAAGCTCAAGTTTTTCTTCCAGAGTCCACTGACTGTTGTCTCTTGCTATGGACTCCACGTCACTCACTAGCGTCTGCATCGTTGGACGTAAGAGAACGTGACGCATTTGGTAAGCAGGCGAGGACACTGTAGATGACACAGCAGGCTCTTCACCAGGCTCCCTAGGAGGGTAGTTAGCACTGCACTGCCTGTAGTCTCGGATTTCTGCTATGACACAGCCATGGTGAAACACATTCACAGGGGATTTTTCCAGGGCATCGATCAGAAAAGGATGCAACTCTTCAGCCTCCAAATATTTGTACAGTTGCTGTCCTACATAGGGCATTGGAAAGGGCTCTATAAGGGCTCCGTCTTTGTCCTTGAGCAGGAGAGAATAGCCCTGATTTCCCGCATGCAGGTTGACCACTAAACACGGCAGCGCCTCTCTCTCCATAAGCTTTCCTAGCAAGTTGACATTGCTTCGAAGGCCCTCTGTTTCAGGCTCTTTCTCGCATTCCTCCAAATAAATCTCATACAGTTTTTCCTGAATAGATTTTCCCCCACTGGATGCGGGTCTCGCTGGAGGGGGCTGCTGCTGGACAGACTCAATAATATCATCTGTCTGTTCCCAAGCCTCCTCCAACTTTCGTTCCATCTTAACAGCAAGTCACGGCCTTTAAAGAAAAGAAAAACACACCATATCGGCAAAGAGACGTGGGAATCATGGCCCTGGGTCATTTTCCTGTCAGTTTACGTCTCCGGTGCAACCCTAATTTAATGTGGGCCCCAAGAAACCCCCATCCCTACCTCAGGCCGCGCCACGAGCCTGTCAGCCTCATGAGGCATCCGCGGCTGAGGTAACCATGGTAGAGGCCTAGGCCCGAGGGCCTTAGTTCATGGCCTCGGTCGTCCGGTAGACGCCGGGAAGCCTCAGGGGATTAAACAGCCAAAGAAACTGAAAATGACACTAATTTCTTAAGAGTTTCTAAAAATTCGATACCCGTTGGTGTTACTCACACTGCCAGCCGTGATTCCGCCGCTGTGGACGCGAACACAAGCGGCTGAGGACGACCAACGGCCGACACCACTCCGGCGCGCCACAGGTCCGAGCCTCAAATGGCTCAGGAAGCCCCGTCACCGGCCAAGGTCACACTTACTTCCGGTGCTGTTCAAATGGGGGGCGGGCGGGGGGCTACACTTCCGCTGGAGAGTGGAAGGTTATGGCGGGGGGGCGCGGTCCACGCCTTCCATATAACCATAAAAACGATACATACGGCACCAAAGTGTGCGCAAAGCCGCAAACACGAAGTCCTTTTGGTTAAGATGTCACTAGGCGTTAATTTTGACACGAGCGCAACTGCCGGTAACAGGCACGGACAGGTGTAATGTCTTGCTAGAACCTTCAAGAACGAAATGTCAGGTCCGCTGAAGCGCGGGCGCTGGTGGCGCACACGTTTAATCCCGGCACTCGGGAGACAGAGGCAGGTGGGTCTCGTGAGTTCGAGAGACAGAGGCAGGTGGGTCTCGTGAGTTCGAGGCCAGCCTGGTCTGCGCGGTGATTTCTATCTAGTACAATCAGGGATTCGTACTAAGACTCTGTCTTAAAAGGAAAAGTAATTGAAACGTGTCTGGAGACTCATCTCGGACTATTTTGGTTACTGCTGGTACTCATCTCAATTTCAGCTCACCCAAGGCACTTCGCTTCGGTAGCGCTTACAATGACAGGGACATTTTTGATGGGAACATTGCAAGCTTCATTCTGTTCTGTTAGCTTCCGTGGTTTTCACAGAGTTAGGCACATAACATGGTGTTCCTATTCACAACCATTTGTTTTGTGTTTTTTATGCATTTCATTTTTTTGTTTGCATGAAGGATTTGGAATAATATGATTCTTTGACTACTTATAGGTTTTTGTTTTCTAGTTCCTTTCTAGTCCTGTTGTTGCCAATCTTTTTGGATAGGTGTTTAAAGCTTCTCTGTTTCAATTTACATAAAGCAATGACACATTCACAATAAGACATATAATGACAAGAATCCAAAATAAGTTCCTGAGACTCCTAAAATATAGATGTTCTTAAAATAAACATTTTAAAAGAAACTTATACAGTCTTGAGTAATTCATACATAAATACAATGTACCTAGAGCGTATCAAGTCCCACTCCCACTGGGTACATTCTATTCCATTGGATTAAAAGCTCTTATTAAGATTTTTCAAAATCTTTAAGAAAAAGAATTTTTAAAAAATAACTGGATATTTTGTATGGCCAAAGATATAGCTTGCTATTCATCCCACAGATGATTAGTGCCTACAATATACCAAAAAAACCCTTCAAAAATAAAACATTAAGAAAATAAATAATTCAATTAAAAATGGGCTGTGGAACTGAACAGAAAATTCTAAAAAAAAAGAAAAGAAATGCAAATACAAAGGAAACATTTTTAAAGTGCTCAATATCCTTTACCATTGGGGAAATATAAATTAATACTACTTTACAGGGAAAAAAAGAAGATAAAAAAGACTCCTTTACGATTGCACTTCACCTCAGTCAGAACGTCAGCCCAGTCAGAATGGCCAAGATCAATAAAGAAATGACAGTACATGCTGGCAAGGAAGGAGAGAGAGGAACACTCGCACATTGATGCAGGAGTTCAAACTGGTCCAGCCGCAATGGAATCGGTGTGGAGATTCCTTGGGAAGCTGAAAATAGTTGCCAGGCATCATGGCACACACCTTTAATCCCAGCATTGGGGAGGCAGAAGCAGGTGGACCTCTGTGAGTCTGAGGCCCACTACTGAGTTCCAAGACAGCCAGGACTATGACAGAGAAACCTTGTCTCAAAATACAAAAACAAAACAACAACAAAAGGCAAAAATCAGTTTACCACAATTTCCAGCTATACCACTCTGGGCAAATATGCGAAGGACTCTGTATCCTCTTACAGGGATACTTGCTCATCCATGCTCATTGCTTCTCTATTCATAATAGCCAGAAATTGGAAGGAAGCAGACCAGATTCCCCTCAAATGATGGATGGATAAATAAAATGTGGGACATTTACACAATGGAATATTACTCAGCTGTTAAGAAAAATGAAATTATGAAGTTTTCAGATAAAAATAAAGCTAGAAGCAATCCAAATAACCACAGAAGTTAGGTAGCTAAAAAGGGACCAGGAGGAAGGGTGGGGTCTTCCAAGGAAGAATAAATAGAATATAGTGTTATAGAAAGATAAAGGGGAAAATAGAATAGGAGAAGTAAATGGAGAGGAGGATGGAAAGGCAGGGTAAAAGAGGAAATATGGAGCACAACTAACAGTAAAGGCCTGTTCTGTGAGATAGAAACCATACTTGACACTTTTAATGAGATCAAGAGCCTGAGACTAGATAGGTCATGGGCTTAAGGGAAAGCCTATACTATTGTTTTGCTAAACACAGCAATAAAATAACTCCTAACAACATATTGTTATCCCCATAGATCAGTGCATCGCTCAGCCCTCATCAGGGAGGCCTCTTCTTGCAGCGGATGGGAATTAACTCAGAGAGCCACATGTAGACAGTCTTTTCCTTTTGAGTAGCCAGCTAGACATGAGACATGGAATAACCAGAATGGAAATAATGGAGATGAAGTAACAAATGCATGGAAGAATGTATATTTAAAATGTGGGTTAATTTAAGTTCTAAGAGCTAGTTAGAAACAAGCCTAAACTAAGGCCTCACTTTCATAATTAATAAGTCACCATGTCGTTTTTTTCTATACTGGTGACCCAAAAAGAGAAGTCCATCTGCATAAAGTGCGAGGTTGGACCTACACTTCAAGTTCCAGTGAATAACACTTTCCGTGCTCATAATAATGCCTCAGATTATCTTTAGAATTTTGAGGCCTTTGTAATAACTTCCTTTTTGCATCATGAAAATGCCCGAACCAGTAGTAAAAACATTGTTCTAAGTCATGGAGGCATTAGTTAGTATCTTTTGGGGTGGGAGAAAGATGGATGTCCCCAATGTTGCAGAGGAAACTTGGGTAACAGTCCAGGCAGACTGCTGTTCCTGTCATTTCTATAGTTTTGAAAGTTGTTTGTTCTGGGTCTCCTGGTGTCTCTACCTTTCTTCTTCCCAGAGTCCTCTCTGTCCCAGGAAATCCTTCCTATACTTTCCTGCCTAGCTATTGACCATTCAGTTCTTTATTACTCCAAGCACAGCAATACATCTTCACACCGTGTACAAGTGTACTGCCACCCCCACAACTGAGTAATGTGTAGAGAGTGAGAGATTTTGGTACACTTGGCCCTAACATAAGAACTAATGAACAGGGAAAGTAAGCTTTCTTCAGCATGCAAACTCTAGAAACGGAGAAGGCAATGGGCTGAAGTGGAGTGAGATCTGTGGCAGGAAACAGGTTAGGAGGTGATTACAATATCCTAGCGGCAAGTGATGAGGTCAGCGTTAGAGGTGATGTTAAGGAAGTTCTTGAATCATTCCCCAGGCTGATTGAACAGGATTTGAAAACTGATTATCAGTGTTAAAAGCAAGAAAAGAATGAAGTTTGACATGAAGTTGGTAGTTTAAGTTGGCTTCTGGTGGTGTCACATATGAGGCCAAGATTGTAAGTAGTTGGAACACAGTCACATCTATTAGACTTCCTTCAGAACAAGGAGTGCTATTATTTGTTCACTACTAGTTATCCAGAGCATACCACAATAACTTCCATATGAGAAAAGTCCTGTGAGAAACAGAACCATGACCTTCAAAGACATCAATCTCCTAATCCCCAAAGCCTGTGAATATATAACCTTCTGCCTTAGTTAAAGCTATTTCTCTGATGAAACATCATGACTAGATATCCCTGGGAGACCTGCTTTTTTCTGAAGGGAAATGGAAGAGGAATGGATTTAGGGGAGAAGGGAGTGGGGGGGTACAGGGACGAGGAGGGGTGGATGGAGGGCAAACTGGTTGGGATGTATTGAAAACAAAAAAAAATCATTATTTTTTAAAGGAAAGAAAGAAACACCATGACCAAAAGCAAGCTGAGGAGTGAAGGGTTTGTTTGGCTTACACTTCTACATCACTGTTCATCACTGAAGAAGTCAGGACAGGAACTCAACCAGGGCAGGGATCTGGAGGCAGGAGCTGATGCAGAGGACATGGAGCGGTGCTGCTTACTGACTTCCTTCTCATAACTTGCTCAGTCTGCTTTCTTACACAACCCAGGACCACCAGTCCAAGGATGACACCACCCACAATAGGCAGGGTCCTCCCCCATCAATCACTAAGTTGGAAAATGACTTACATGCTTGCCTACAGCCTGACCTTATGGGAGGCATTTTCATAATTGAGATTCCCTCCTCTAGGATGGCTTTAGTTTGTATCAAGTTAGCATAAAACTATCCAGAACACCTTCCAATTGGGACAATGACTTCTTAGACAAGAGTAAGTATGAGGCTTGAAATGATGATTGTCTTGGTTGGGCTTCTATTGCTGTGATAAAACAACATGGCCAAAATCAACTTGAGGAAGAAAGTGTTTGTTTCAGTTTACAACTCTCAGGTCACAGTCTAACACTGAGGAAATTCAAAGCAAGAACCGAGAGGCAGGAGCTCATGGAGAGGCCATAGAGGAGTGTTGCTTACTGGATTGCTCCTTTTGGCTTACTCAGCCTGCTTTCTTGCACAACTCAGGACCACCAGCCCAGGGGTGGCACTGCCCACAGTGAGCTGGCCCCTCCTACATCAACCATCAATCAAAAATTGTACCACAGGCCAATCTGGTCCAGGCATTTTCCATTTTCTTAATTTAAATTAGAAAGTCTTATTTTACATGCCAATCTCAGTTCCCTCTCCATCCCCTCCTCCTTTGCTCCCCTCTAACCCCTTATTCCATCCCATTTCTGCTCCCCATGGAGGGTGAGGCCTTCCGTGAGGGATCTTCAAAGTCTGTCATATCCTTTAGAGCAGGGCCTAGACACTTCCCCGTGTGTCTAGGCTGAGAGAGTATCCCTCCATGTGGACTGGGCTCCCAAAGTACATTTGTGTACTAGGGATAAATACTGATCCACTACCAGAGGCCCCACAGATTAACTAGACCTCCAAAATGACATCCTCAATCAGGGGGTCTGGAACAGTCCTATGATGGTTTCCCAGCTATCAGTCTGGGGTCCATGAGCTCCCCCTTGCTCAGGTCAGCTGTTTCTGTGGGTTTCTCCAGCCTGGTCTTGACCCCTTTGCTCATCACTCCTCCCTCTCTGCAACTGGATTCCAGGATTTTGGCTCAGCGTTTAGCTGTGGGTGTCTGCTGCTGCTTCCATCAGCCACTGGATGCAGGCTCTAGGATGGCATATAAGGTAGTCATCAATCTCATTATCGGGGAAGGGCATTTAAGGTAGTCTCTCCACTGTTGCTTAGATTGTTAGGTGGGGTCATCCTTG